AGGAAGCCAGGTGATTGGGAGTGACTCAGGTCCATTGCTGGGGGCGGAGGTTTACGATGCCGAAATCTTTGGGGCCCAAAAAGCCCTAGAAAGAGCCTTAGGAAAAGCAGGCAACTGCCCGATCGAGGTGCTGCTTGACAACACTACAGCCGTGAGAGCTCTAAGAACCGGTCAAACAAAATCTTCCCAGGAAGCAATGGAAGTATTTACGAGACTGGCACGACAAGCTAGATCAGTTGAGATCCGATAAATACCAGCCCACGCTGGGATCATGGGGAATGAAGATGCAGACAGACTGGCTAAGGAAGCCCTCAGGAACCTACCGGATGAAACGGACACATCCTCCTCCGAAATGAGGGACAGATCTAAATACACTTTCGCTGCCCTCACTCGGTTTGTCAGGCAAAGATGTGATGAAGCAGTGGAATCCTGGTGGCGAGATCACAGACCGAGCCGCTACGAGGAATTGGATCTCCAGATGAAACGAAAACGTCCGCCGGAACTAGCACTTCCAAGGTGGGCGCATCACCGCCTTATTGCAGCAAGGACGGGACATGGTGATTTCATAAAATATCATGAAAGATTTGGCCACGAATTTGAAAACTGCGAATGCGTGTGCGGAAGAGAGAAACGCTCTTGGCATTTTGCCGAATGCCGAATAGCTCTACAGCTATTGAGAAACTTGAAGCATGTACCACCACCGAGAGGACGGGAGATGCTGGCAGAAAAGGGTTGGGAAAGATTTCTCCAGTTCTTAACAGTAACTAGGTGTTACGAGAGGCAAACACTACACCGGGAGAATTAAGTCCTGCCGAAATAGAAGTTTTTCAGGACAAAGAGTCGTGAGGAAGGAGGAAAGGCGCAGGGCGCTCAATTTTCTTGAAACTAATTTCTTTATTTATGTTTTGCGTATAGATTTGACAAGCAAACTATGTACTTAGGTTGTAGTGTGTCCCGAGGGAGCATAGACCCGTATCACGCCTATTCGGTGTAGGGCGTAAGCCTGATACGAAATGAATTCATATCAAATCAAATCATCCTCTTTTCTAACTAACAATATCTCTCCAAAGGTCTGCTTCAGAAACTAAAGTTCGCAAGCATCTAACTCGAGATCAATGTATTGAAATAAGAACATTAAGAAGACTTGGCTTGATATTACAACTTATATCCGACGAATGTGCTTCACAAGAAGGCAAGTGCAACTTGCATGTGCTCGAGAGACTGAGAATCCTATGCCTCGCAAAGGACCCTTACCAAAATTAAGCGCGGAACAAGTTGATGAGCTTGAGGCTTTTGTCCGGGAATCTCCTGAAAATTGACAGATGTGCTATTTGGAACTAGCCATGGGGCCCTTCAGCCACTGGGATGTAGTGAACGTCTAATTTCTAATGCACTCAATAACATAGGCTACAGCAGATGCATTGCTCGGAAGAAGCCTCCGTTCAGCGCGGTGAACAAGCAGAAAAGATTGGAGTTCGCCCAATTACATTTAGATTGGAGCGATGAACAATAGAGTCGCATATTATGGACTGATGAAACCTGGGTATCGGGTGATTCTCATATGAAACCTCGTATCTCAAGAAAAGTACGTATAAACTCTATCAAAATCTTCTTTGTACTAACAGCAGAGTTTAGCCTGATGATGAGTTTGATGAGACTTGTATTGTGGCTCGTCGTGCTCATGGGAACAGTTGGATGTTTTGGGGATCAGTTTACAGATTATAAAAAGGCCCATTCCTAGTCTGGGAGAAAGATTGGGGATCAATGAGGGCCTCATCCTTTTGTGAAAGGATTTTGCCTCTTTTGAATCAATTTCACGTGGAAAATCCAGAAGTTCTATACACGCACGACAATGCACCATGTCATATAGCATACTCAACAATTAACGCGCTGCGTGAAGTTGGAATAACGCATATTGGATGGCCAGCTTACTCTCCGGACCTGAACCCGATCGAGTCATTGTGGAATATCTTAAAAAACCACATTTAGGTAAATAGTCCTGAGATAAATGGGGTCAGGCTTGTGCGCTCTGCCACGTTGAAGACATTTCTACAGGATGCATGGGACTCTATACCTTCTGAGGAGCTATTGTCACTAGTTGGTAGCATGCACGAAAGATGTGTAGCAGTGATAAAGGCAAATGGAGGGTACACAAAGTATTAGGATGGAGAAGACACACAAAACATGTAGTACGCTTTCATTTTAGTTGTGAGCCATACTGAGGGCTTCGATGTAGACTTTTGTAATTCAAAGCAATAATTTTTGAAATAGATGTGCATTTTTAGAGAATATCAATTGACTTATTCAATTTTGAATTTCAATTGAGGACCATTGTACTTTTCCCATGGAGTTCAAAACCATCCCCATAATTTAGACTTTCACGGAATGTCATTGGATAGTACCCTTTGCTTGCATAACTAGTCGAGTAACTAGATATGGGTTTGCATGTAGATCATACCAATTAAGGTGATATGTACAGGGATCTAACTCCAGTCATTTTGACAATTTTATCTTTGCCATCCATAAGAAACTGTAAGTGACACCTGATAATGCGTGACTGGGTAAGAAGTACTGTGCCTAAGGATAAGTCATCAGTCTAGAGATTGATGAAGGGGACCAATTCTTATAAATACCTGTTAGTAGTAGCTAGAATTTGTTTTTTCCTCACACAGTTTAATAAATCAATTTATTCATCACCTACTTGTTGAAATCTAGACATGCCAGACCGAACTGCACGCAGTGCGGAGTAGACGAAGACTACTCATCTTCGATCGCTACCAGCTTTGGTGAGGTCTCGGTTGGTAATGATCTCGGTGGTGTGAATATTATTCCATCACGTAATCAGAACACAATGTTTCTACCTAAGCGAGGTAGAAGGTAGAAAATTACAAGTAAATTAAAACACAAAAACACTTTTAACTACCGAAAAATAAGTTCAGTAAAACCAAAACCTCACTGATCCTATCCTTTTATCTCTGATCCTTAAATCCCCAATATCGTACGATTCGTACAGTATTGACTTGACGGTCAACGTTCACTTCTATCATTCCAGATACCCCTTAGAACTTTAATACTACTAGGTTCCTGTCACACCAAGTTTCATAATTTCACGCCCTTCGAGGTTGTAGCTATCTTCTGAATTATATTGTAAGCTTGTCCTGATTCCTCTCACGCCCATTCACAAAACCTTTCTCCCAAATTTGTGCATCAGGTTTTGTTTCCTCCGTCAGGTGTGGATATTAACGTGAGCGTGTATGTGGTGGTCAACTGAGGCGAGAGAATGTCGAAGAGAGGTATGTTTATTTGAATTGGGATGTCCTGGGTCGTACTTGTAAACCCGATGAGGCTTGGTGGGGATTGATCTCGTTGGGAAGGATAAATTGATTAGGTGGAGAGTCTTGAATCATTGCCTCATGGGCCAACTTGTTCGGTATTTCGAAATTTGATTGAGCTTGGCCCTGGAAGAATATTTCACTCTCAGGTTTTTAGAGGACATGGCGTACAAGTGTTAAGTCGCTGCCCTCCGTGTATGAACTAATCTCGAGCGCATCATATAGCGACTTTTGTATTTTCATTATCTTACAGAATCGAAACAGATTTTGATTACTTCATTCGATCCTTCAAATCATAAAATCATTTCGTGACGTGCAATGCTGTAAGGCTTCAGAAAATTATTACATCCAAGTTTTAACCCATATTTGGGCTTCACTATTACATCATGCATGTTAACTGGCATCAGCGGTCTTGGGGTTTAATAGATAAGTTTCAACAGACTCGAGGGTTTCAAGTTCAATTACGGGTCTTAGGATACATTGGTGTGTTATTATTAGATAAAGAAGCGGAAGATATACCTTACCTACGTCTTTATCTTCGCTCTGTATATCATCTTCTGTCAAACAGATAACCCTAAATTTAAATCTAGTATCACGATGTTTAAGTTGAGTGATTTACAAGCAATTATACGGTGCTAATGCACCAATGGCAATAACTCCGTCAGCCATATGTTACAACTAGCGACTAGAGGGATGGCCAATTTCCTTCCCACAACTCCCTAAGTGTTTCATTCCTTCTATTGCCCCTGATAATATCACAGCCAATTTTAGAACCATGTATGGAGCGGAGATTTGAGCAGTTCAAATGGGCAACCTAATAGTCGGTCTATATTTGGAATTAGTAGAGTACTCAAGTTGTACATAGTACCTAGATAGATTCCTCGTGGTGGAGGACAATCAATTCAACCAACTCTGAGAGAGATTCACACTAGTATAACTTTGACTAACATATTTTTCCAATAATCGTCTTTTTAAACATTTATCAAACTTATTTCTTATCAGTCAGATCCACATGAGCAAGACCTTGATTTTGCTCTTATCAGTCTTTACTAAATCCTCTTACTATCTAGATCAGTTCATACCTTAGTCAAAGACTGTCTTCATGTTATCGATGTTTTAGTTCTCTAACTTTCACACAAACGAGTCTTGACTTAACTAGTCGGAAATTTTTGTATTATTTTACATAAATAAAAGCGGGCCTCGGCTCTAACATTTATAGACATTATCTTGTACATAATTGCTAGGAGAACTTTCTCCTAAAGTAATTTCAGTCGGAACTGTTGGTATTTCCGGTGTCCATATGTTCCGACCTGATCAAATTAACTACATATCATCATTGTTTTTCTAGTCCTTGTACGAGCTAATCAATGAGTCAATTAAATTTGCAATCTTCTATTTTTGATCAATCATCAATGTATCAGGCACAAATCAAAATAACTTCGCAACCGAATCTTTTCCAATTATTGATATTTATAACTGTTCCAAATGCGTTTTGTTGACTTCTCTTCATAATCATCTTTAAGTATCGATTTCAATCCTAACGAGAGCGTTGTCAGTGTCTCAACATTCATCTCTACTGCCATTCCCAAGTACTACCCAAAACTGCTTTCGATTTTGCGATCGACCGGAAAATAAAAGAACGACGAGTATATCAAAACTACAATTCACTTACGACTTTAGATGCAGAATTGTATTTTCAAATGTCTCGATTATTGGGCCATATAGAGTGTCAGGATCAGGAGCGGTACCAATCGTGAATTCTTGATCCTTATAGAATAAGGTATTCCAGAAAGTCCAAACAAGGATTTTGACATCTTCAAATTCCGGTGAAATCCTTTTCATGACTTTCTCTCCGAATGTACCTTTCTTCATTTGGGTCTCCTTGTTCGAATAAATCTCTTCGGCAGCCCCAGAATACCACTTCCTTAAAAAGGCCGCGTGCGGTGACTTATCATCAGGCCAACGAGATCGTATGCAAATCCACAATAAGACGTAAAAAAACGACTCAAGATCATGGCGGTACGAGTGTGACACTACGGCACCTGGTAGTGCAAAGCTGTTCTGAAGAATTTCCAATGCCATGAATTGAATTGTGCCCGTCATCGCTCCCAGTTTCCCTTGTGCTTCACCTCCCTTGAATAGAATGGTCAGGTCAAGATCAATGAGTATGCCACCATAATCCTTGGGGTCTTCACAGTGCTTCAGAAGGACGTTGTTCACCGATATATCTCGATGTAATATATTGGCATCAAGAAGTAGTGACCTATGCGCCTTGATAGCGTCGTATAACCCGATTATCATTTCAAGTGGCGTGTCAAACTTACTAATTGGTTTCCCGAATGGCGATATTGCGACCGCTGCTTGTTGGCGCTTCCGTATTTCAACACATTTTACCGTTTCTATTTTGAAGCCAGATGGGATGAAATCACTTGTAAATGATGACAACGATTCTTCACTTTGGCTGGAAATACTTGAATGGTTGGAATCAGTCCCATGAGAATTTCCTGGGTTCTCAACATCAGTTGCAACATCTACTGATTGGCCAGAAAGGTGGACTCTTTTCAGGCGTTCGTTGACATCGACGTTTTCCTGACATTTCCGCTTCACGCCGATGGATTGACTCGTTCGCAGCTCCTCTAAGCGGCTGCTACGTCTCTGGGTATTTTTAGTAATATTAAGGTTACCATCAGCTGATGAAGTGGTTTCCGAGCTCGGTGCCATTTCAATCGACTGTGATCTAATTTCAACCATAGGAACGCTCCGAGGTATTTCTGAAACAGCAAAGACATTAGTGTGTACTTTGGATTCAATCGCGTCAATTTTCTTACCTTTGATTCCACTTCGAGTTCGTTTACTTACCGGCTCGATCTCATCTCCGTGCTTCTGTGATTCATTCTTCCGCTTTCGGGATTCAGCTTTGCTTGCACTCTTCAATACTTGGATAGACTTCCCACTTAAAACAACTGGCGTAGTTAATACCTGTTCCGCTGGTCGTGTGCATTTCACCATTTGGTGAGTGAATTGAAGTCCCTTTCGGAGCGTGCTTATTTGTACCAAGTCACGCCATCCCTCAAGCTTAGCCATTCCAACGACATCCTTTGCAATCTGGAGCAAGTCTACTTCAGAGGTGCCCCCGCATATCTTCCATGAGAATTTCACCACAAAGCTTTTTTCCACAGAGGAGTAAACTGTGGTGCCCCTAGAGACAAGCGCCGACTGAATTACTAACGGCTTCGAGTCAAGAACGAACTCCCGCATTTCAACTGACCCCGGAACCTTCATCTTGATGATGATTTTATCGCCGTCATATCGGATGTTTGGGTCGATTCCATGCTCTTTATCACTCATCAACATGTAAGCTGCCAGCACGTGAACCAATTTTTTCTGTGATTTCCCAACATCAATGATAGACTCACAATACGGTCCCGATCGATCAAATACCCAAAGCTGGAGTTGTGTCCCGAAAAGTATGAATCCGTGTACAAAATGTCGAAGAGGCTGTGCCAAGAACACTTCACTCATGTAGACACAAAGCTGGAGAAACTTATCCAGAAAAGCCGAAGTTGGTAGTTTGGTCAACTCTCCAACCACAAGTATATCACGCCAATGATGACAGTCGCTGTTAGGTGGATCACTTCGCTTGATAAAATAATCAAGCTGTCTGTCGGTTTGACCTCCCTCCATTTGTCCTTTAGCGAGCGTATGACATTGCGTTGCTTCGACGGCGTGCATGTATCTACTTTCAGATAGAGTTCTCTTCTCGATCGCTGTTATGCTTGAAGTATCATTGAAAGGTTTAATTATCTCGTCTTCCACAGCCTTCATCCACTTCCATACGTCTGATTCAGCTGGATCTTGTGGAAACTTCAATTTTGCTTCTCCTGAGCGGGCCTCGTATTCCTTCGACAACAGTACACAGTGCTTCGACCACTTCGGCGTTACGAAGTATTTTTTCCAGAATCCTTTGACATTCATGAAAACTGACCCAGACAGCTCATGACGCATCGATTCCTTAAGTTCTTCCATCGTCTTTTCGGCTCGATGGTGTGCTCCAACGCGCCTAAATATAGAGTTTGCAACGAGCTTATTTGATTGATTGTCGCTTTCTTTTATGCTTAACTCGAGCGTGTCAACGAGCTGCATTAGAGATTGCCAAACTTTCAGGTCGGGAGCATGGTCTAAAATTAATTTAGCGATTGGCTCGAATGGAGCCAAGTCGAACGGTGTTGCCTCCATCCAGCTGCATATTGAAGACATTCGAGTGTAGAGATTTGCATACTCCGAATATTCAAAATTTCCTAGATGGACATGTAGGCTTAATTGCCTAATTAAAGTTATCAGAGGTCTACCTGATACATCCTGGCCTCTAGGATTCCCGAAGATTCTGTCGCCTGTATTATTAAAATTTGTCTTGTAGCTTTCACAGAAGTCCTCTCTAATTCTGGTGAGTGGTTTCCTTTGCAAGTAGCCTACGATATCAGCGGTTAGAGGCATGTTGTCGTTATGGTGTGTGTAAACGATTAATATGAGTCTACTATTAAAGGTAGACGGTGTGACGTGTAAATCTGAGTCGATAGGGGATATGTGGTAAGTATTTGACTTCTCTAAGACTAGGCGTCAAATTTCCTTTTAAACAGCTCAAATTTGGAGCATTGTACTTTGGTTTATTCCTAGTTTGAACACATTCTGAGATGTTGGTAAATTGACCTATCAGTTGTTTATGCGGTTTTCGATGGACAAGAGTGCGATAGAACTTCCATGGACTGGTTGGTATTGGCATCCCTACTGATAAGTATTACTTTGCTAGCTTTTTTGAAGTTCGACTTATGTCCATTGAACGGCTAGGTGAGGTTGGAAAGCAGATTCTTTGTTATAGTTGATGCATCATATTCGGCCCAACTGTAGATCTCAAATTAGATCCCTCGGAGTGGCCAATGCACTGCGCCCAACAATAAAGATGATCCTTAGTGATCAGCACTGCCACATAAAGATTGATTGGCTCATATTATTATTATTAATTCATTTTATTGTCCTGTCTCAGTCTATGACTTTATAGGACATGCAGGTCCTCTCTGCCTACAGGCCAAGAATACCTATACCTGTATTATATCCCCTCCTATGCCTCCCACATAACTCCCCTCAAATAGTACCACCCCGCAAAAGTCTGTCGTTTCATTGGCTGTGGAGGGGAGATAATGATGGGCTAAGGGCTCCTCTTAGTGTATGATCGAATGAGGACTTGTGATGGGTGGTACTATTTGAGGGGAGTTATGTGGGAGGCATAGGAGGGGATATAATACAGGTATAGGTATTCTTGGCCTGTAGGCAGAGAGGACCTGCATGTCCTATAGAGTCATAGACTCAGACAGGACAATAAAATGAATTGAAAATGAAATATTTTTTATTTTTGGGCAGAAGGTTCTGTGGAAAAGGTGGCCGAATTCCACGGGTAAATACTGAGCTGAATGGCTATTCATCACGGACAATATATCAGTGATCTTTCAAGAAACATTAGAGGCAAGGAGCACTGTACAAGGTTAGGCCTGGGTCAGAGAAGAGCCCAATGTGCTACATAGTTATTGACTCAAGTAGTACAATAAAAAACACACACTCAGCTACATTTTCCACCGAACCTTCCACCTAAAAAAAATAAAAATCGTAGCAATGGAGATTGCGTGCGCGGGAAAAAGTCTCAAAAAACTGCGGCCCCAGTAAGGCGAGGCCTAGACACCGGGACCACATGACGTGCACATGTTCATCTGTGCCTCCCTTCTTTGTAACATTCGAGGCCATCGTGATCCAATTCACCATCTCTGTACCGGGTGCTAGGTACGCTCCGAAAAATCATCGGATGGCTATTCCTCCATGATTAAGGGTTTGTGATGAGAAGGACTGCGACTCTACCATCTGATCTGATCGTAGTTAGCGTCATGATAATGGTGCTAGGGAAATGTGTTGAGAGATGAAGACGATACAGATGGCGAAAGCAATTGGGAATCCTCGTGGAAGTGAAAACTTTGTAACTCGATTTCGGCTCTGCAGACTCTACAGTGAGAGCTGGAGGTTCGTAGGGGACACCGCTGACAGGTGTTGAGAATAGTCCCCCCTATCTTAGATGTAGTCCTAGCTGTGAACAACGGTCCTGTACTCATAGTGGACTTTGAGCTTTAGCTTAGGACTTTGACAAAACAACAACTTGGATGTGTCCAAAAATTCATGTTGAGCCTCCGTTCCCTTCTTTTTTCGAAAAGAAATTTGGTAGTGTTCTTGGCCCTATGTCCTCAAGACATCTGTTTCCGTATTCTCTGAGTTTAGGACCCACTCGAGACAGCAGATCACCGGTTCAAATCCAGCAAAACACAACCACGTTTCTCGCAGCGCTGGTATGCTTAGATAACAAAAGATTTTGAAGCGCCCCGTTGGTGGGTACCCATGGAGGAGGGTCGATTGTTTGTGTAAGCAAGCGTACCACATAGTGGTATTTGCGAATAAAATTCAGAGTATGAGTGTCTCTAACGTCGAAAGAGTCATCAAACATGTATTCATAGCACCGATCATATGTCATAGCGAGATAGATGAATACATATTACATCATTTTTAAAAAAAAGGGAAGAAAAAGAGTTCAAGGCAATATTTCAATAGGTCTTGCACATTCAACCATTCATTTTTGCAAATTTGGTTAGGCATTAACCTGGCTGGACGTTGTGGGAATTGAACCCACGACCTTTCGTATGCACGATGTTAATGCGAAACGAAAATCATACCCCTAGACCAAACGCCCTTCGTGCATTCGAAGAGCAGCTAAAGTTTATATTTGATCATTGGTCCTATCCTCTAGACGACAAACAAGGATTTGATGAAAGTGAAGTAGCATAATTGCCGTAACCTGCTATTTGTATAATGCTTGATGGAAATGGAAATATGGAATACTATGGACGTGTGAGACCTACATTTTATTTAGGTTCTCGACAAAATCTTGTGTGTAATAAAGGGATTGGAATGTGTAATATGATAGCGTTTTAGGCGAACTAATTGAAACATGAACTTCTGGATAACGTGTGCTCAACGAGCCAGTTGGAAAGCTTCTATGCCTGGATAGCGCCATAATCGTTTATGTGGTGGTATAGAAACCGTGTCGCATACATTTGTTTGAAGTAAATGGTTAAGCTGTCTTTTGCAGCTATTTATGTTGATATGAATTAAGATGATGATTCTGATTGAGATAGATTTCTATATATTTGATTTGTGTTTATTATCCTGATTTGGCGCCCTATGGGCCCATGCAGATGGCTATAAACCTATCTATATATTTACATAGGAGGAAACCTCTCGGTGAAAACCCCCCAAGCTTTCTGATTTAATTCTTAAAGTTTGCAGTTTATCCTTCAGGAAGTACAGTTACACTGTAACGCCGTCGATATGTACCAATCACGTCCCTTCTATCGACCCCAACCTTCTTCATGTTACGTCTTGTTCCCTGAGCAGCATTTCGACTTTATTAGTCATGCGGAATTGTCCTATCCAACCATGATTAAGAATCCATTGTGTGATTCTTTTCATATTGCTAGCATCGTTGGTCATTGCTTCAAAGGAGCGATTTCGTGATTGTTTCCAGATTTCTCCTCTACCAATTGATCACTCAGGGCAGGACATGATCATGTGATTGGGATTTTGTGATTGGTAGCCACGCGGACAACTTCGGCGATAAACTCCTGGTACTTTTCTTCTATGCAAATACGAATTGAGCCCGATATGCTCGCTTCGAATTTGGATTGCTAAGCTACTTTGGGCCCTCGTCAGGTTTTTGTGGAGAGAAAATGGCGACTCACGGAAGCTTATTTTTGTACGTCCAGAATGGCGGCATTGGTAGAACTTTGCTGCTGCCCAAGTTTTAGGATCTGCTGAAGCAAATTTTTTAGGCTGTCGAATTCGCTTTGTGGCTGACCAAGATTTCGCCCATTCCAGGTACGCTGCAACTCTTATCGCTTCTTTTTGTAAGTCCTTGGATTTCTCCTCTCCGCAAATCTCTTTCCAGTATGCAAGGTCTGCTCTTCTATTTTGTGCTTTAATATCTTCTCTTCCTCTCCTGGAAAGTTTTATTTTAGCACATGCTGATTGAATAGTCTATTGAGCTGTTAGAGAATTTGAGCGGCCTACATACTGAGTCCTTTATTGCTTCAAGTAGATTTCTATCGGAAGAGTAGCAGTCTCATGTCCCAGCACCCTGGTGCTGGTCGATTTTTATGCTCCAGTTACTACTTTCAGACAATTTCTTTGAGAGCTTCGAAGGGGTTTGACTATCCTCTCGGGTATTCTACCTCCTGGCCCGGCCTCAGCCCAGATTGGCAACCCATACGTAAGGGCTGGTCTCACTATAGCGCTATAAAGCAGCTTTAACTTGTCAATTATGGCTCCCCACGTGGACTGCGTCAGCCTACTTATGGCCTGGACCTGTGTCTCAGCTTTCAGCTTTAGACTTTTGATGTTCGCCCCCCAGTTTAGCTTCGTATCAAAGTAAATTCCAAGGACGCGCAGGGAAGGCTGTGGCGCTGTAGTGTGACTTTGGATCTGAACTGTTACTTTAAGATCATGTCACTTCCTAGCTCGTGAGAAATGCATTAGTTGATACTTCTCATGCGCAAATCTGACTCCATGCGTTTTTGCCCACTGCTCGCAGACCCTATGTTGCCTCTCCAGCTCTCGACAGTTCTCTTCCGTTGAGTTTGACCAGG